CTCCATGTTTGTAATTACATCCAAGGATTTTTACTTTCTTACTGGTGGAAATTCCTAGTTGACTGTATCCAGAACCATTGAAGTCTGAAGTTATGACCTTACTTTTTTGGGGTAAGATATCTAGTCCATTGCCAGTCACACAGTTCTTCATCTTCGTCAATGCTTCTGCCACTCTCCTGGGCATTGTATCACGTCCCGATTTGATAACCGCAATTATGTCATCAGCGTACATGAAGGCTTTAAATTCAGGCTTCCTTTGTTTTAATTTTCCTGGAGTTATCTTTATTTTGTTTATCTCATTCAGTCTTGATTGGAAGCCGAGTATAAAAAGACAAGGTCCAAGACCTGAGCCTGCAGGAGTTCCTGTGTTGAGGTTCTTAGATTTTAGAACTCCATTGTTCTTGTAGCCAACTCTCCTGTTAATCAGAAATGAAACCACCAGATTAATCCACTTGTTATCAACTTGCGCTTGTTGAAGAGCTGCTATTATGTCCTTCTGATTGATGTTATCGAAAGCTGATTCCACATCAGCCATTATTACTGCTAACTGGGATAGTAAACCATCGGTCAATCCAGTTTGTCTCCACATGTGATTTCTCATGTCCATAATTAAATCATTGGTAGATTTTCCAGCCTGATAAGCATATTGATTTCTATAGAAATCCTCACTAATACATGTATTGAGTTGGTTTATCACAACAAGTTCAAGTGTTCTGGATATTGCTGGTAGTACCTGGATGAGTCGAGGTCTAATCCCATCACTCTTAGGAATTACTACCGCTCTGGAGACTTTCCAAGCGGAGGGAAAGAGGGCTTTTCCACACAGATTACGAATTAAACAACAGATTTCCACTCTCTTGATGTTAAACACTTCGATAAACATTTCCGTGTCTAGTTCATCTATCCCTGGTGCAGCTCTCCTGTTGAGTTTTTTGACTGCTTCTTCAACATCCTCATTAGTTACATCAGGACCTCTGATATTCATCATGAATGAAGGCTCCTTGAGTTCACTTAGATGGCAATCATTGTTTATAGTCTTTACTAATTCATCTTTTTTCTTTAAGAATTCTGGAGTGGTTTCAATAACCTCTTGACCTATTAGTTTCTTTAGTCTTTTCCATCTGACCTTTCCTTCTTCATCTGTATAAAATCTTTTCATCCTTTCATCAAGTTTTTCTTTCATTTTTCTCTTCAATTGGACAATTATCTCATCTCTAGCTCCATCTTTTCTTCTCGAGGCTTTCCTTTCCAGCTTTCTTATAGTGGCTGTTAGATTTCCAAAGATGTTCTCCTTTCTTGGGACCTTTTCAATGACCGTCTTGCTTTTCATCTTGGCCTGTTCAAAGTCATTTATCATTTTGTTGGCTATCCTTTCGAGTTCAGCTTTTGGTTTTCCTTCAACTTCTTCTACCGGAGGAATGCTGTTGCAGACACCCTCGAGCCATTTTTGGTGATTTATTTTAGTTATCTTTTTGATTTCTACATCTGGAATTATGATGTTATATTGGATGTCCAATACTTTGTGATCAAAGCTCTTGAAGGGAAAAAATATTTTACATGAGTTTACTTTTAACATCCTTGAGTTAAAGACCATATCTATCCAACCCTTACACTCTCCATTTCTTTCGAATGTGTTAGAGTCTGAATTTGGAATACAAGAAGCTTTTAGATCATAAATTCTGAGGATCTCAGCTATTTCCAGTCCTCTGACTTTTAGGTTTGGTCTGATTTTGAAGGACCACATTTCATTTTCAGCATTGAGATCCCCACCTACAATATGAGGTAAGTGAGATACAGAGCTGAATGCTTTGCTTAAACTGACAAGGTCTTTCCGAAGATTAAAAATTGTTTGGCTTGGACTGAGATATACAGATGAAGCTACCATTCTTTGTTTTCCATTGCTGAAGGAGGTTGTCGCACTTATAGATTTTATTTCTTTAGGTGACCAATCCATCCTTATTACCGTGACTGCTCTTTCCTTGTAGTTGATGTGATGTATATTGCGGTCTAATTGAGCTAAGATTTTGTTACTTGGCTCTTGAAGGAGTAAAATTGCTTTAGTGTCATTGAAATATTCGTTCAGGGCCCAGTTTGTTTTAATTACTTCATTGCCACAATTGAAGTTTATCACTCTAAGATTCATGTCCAAATGAGGTTCTCTTTCTTTCTTTTGCTATTAATTTCGATCTCATATGGCAATTTTCTCCTAAGGCTTTGTGCTTGTGATCTAGCTCATTTTTGTGACACAAAGGACACTCATCAGATACTCGATTGCACACTTCTTCAGGTGCGTGTTTTCCATGTTTCACACAGTAAGACGCCTCTTTGCATTGACCTCTTCTGTGACCGACTTCCCAACAGTTTGTACATATTCTCAAGGCATAAAACATCTTTATCCTTACGGCTTCAACACTCATATGCAGTGTACCTGAAGTAGATATCTTTTTAAAGGTCTTCGGTGATGCTCTAAACACACATTTTACCAGATTGGTACCTCTTTTGGCTACAAACGCATTTTTGAAAATCAGCTTCAATTCATCTCCTTCATCAAGACCGTTTCTTGCTTTGATGTCATCAATTTCCTCCAATGAGTCCTCCCTTACAATGATTTCAAACATTGGATCCTTCTTTAGTTCTTTATGTACCTCCAGAGATTTCATGTCCTCGTTCTTGCTCAGAGCTTCTTTCATTATTCCATCGAAGTCTTGTTGTGTAGTTACAATCTTTACAGATTTACCAGCTTTTACCATATCTGTTATCCTTAAGGATTTACTCTCTGAAATTACCTTCGTTACCTTCTCTACCAGTTTTGTATCTCCATTTTCGTCCTTAGATTTAACATAATAGGTGTTCTTTTTAGGTTTAGGTCTCATTAGTGCTGCAGCATAAGATTGCTGAGGCTTTTGTTTCATTTTTCCAATTTCTTGCTTGATATCTTGAATCTCATTTATAACCTTGTCTAGCGTTGAGCTAACTTCACCACTCATTTGGCATTTAGACGTTATTGGAGCAGCGGCACAGGTATCAATCATCTCCTCACAGAACGCTTTGATCATGGGTATATGGACATCCCATCGTTTCTTGTCGCTTTGTCGCATGGCTTTCCCCATTGAGTCTAGAAGACTTATAAATATTTCCTTTGTTGACTTTATTGGGTCATTAATACCCTCGTTAAGATCACTTGTACATTCATCCAGAGTTATCTTTGCTTGATTTTGATCCATCAGAATCAATCTGTCAAAGTCTAGCATGTTTAAGGACATGCTTTCAGGTCTATGGACCTTTGTCACAGTTAAAAAGAGTGTGTTAGAACTCTAGAATCGTAATATCACGACTCAGAACAACTTCTCCTACACTAGGAAGTGTTAATTAGAGATATAATTCACTTAATTAATCAGTTTTAATTACAATTAAGATGAAAACACAGGATAAAAAATTTAAACATCCATCCAGCTCGCCATCTTGAACCGTTTGGGGACGATCTATATATTACAAACAAAATAAATTTATGTTTGCATCAAAGGGAAAAATTAATTATTTTTATTCAAATATAAATTAATTTAATTAATTTAACCATCAAAAATTAAAGATAAATTGTACAAATATAATAGGCAATTTAAAAAAATCAAAATAATTCTTTTGTGCGCTTATATTCATCTTTGCAAATTATATATGCATTACAGCCAATTCAATGGCTATGTAAAATCAGCCGAATGCCATTAATAAAGAATCTGTTCTTGCTTCAAACTGGACATTAAATCAATTGAATCAACTAATTAATTTAAATAAAACGCCTTAAATAGCTCTTCGAATGTGCGATAGTTGAGTAAATATAAAAAGTGGAAGAACGCACCAAATTCAAACCAAAATGTTGCCAAAATTTCACTTTCATCTTTCATTAGATGAAACCGGTAACAAAAATATGGTTTATTTATATTGTAATTAAAAAGTCGAGAAATATTGGATAAAATTTTAATTTCGACAAAAAATGTTTGCTCGTGTGTATGCGAGTTTTAGAAACCTCACATCTTCCAGAGCTGAACAAGTTTCCAGGTTTTCCGTTGAAGGATTTATCTTACATGACAATCGTTTGTTAATTATATGGCTGTATAAGATGGACGAGATTTAGTCAAATGAGAAGTCAATTAGTTTCTGGTTCAGTGGATAGGAAATCAAGTCTTGAAATACCATCATATTAATATCTATATTAAAACATAATAGCGATAATAACTCATGAAGCCCACGATCAAACCTGATTTTCATCGTGGTAGGCCTTACTATCAATGAGTCTATATCAGACAGTTTGAGTCTTGAAATCCTATGTAACTAGCTTCACTACATTCAATGATTTAATGGTTATAATAAACAAAATCAGTCCAAAGTTAAATATCAATCAAAGTTCAATAGTCTGTCTTATTCAATCGAGTAATTGATTTTATATTTACTTCTACCTTTCAATATATTAAAAGCCAATATTATGTGTTAAACCTACATTGTCTGCTATCTAATTAATGGGCTATAATTTGATTTACCGCTTAAATCAGCATTTATTGAACATAAAAGTGAAAATTTGCCTCAACAAATACCTTAAACAGTACATTTTAATGTCAGCTTTAGCTATTCCAGACAATTTTGAACAAGCTCTCAATTTTGAAGTCTCACAATTAATGTATTTCAATTTATAATTGCGGTTGGTTGATTTGTTATTCTGCATTTTTAATAGCTGGAAAAGGGCTGATTCATTGTTGGTTACCTTTTTATATCCAGTTTTTTATAAAGACAACACCTTTGGACAGTCATTCATAGACTTGAGTATTTACTCCTACGTCTTAGCTTGATGAATAAAAGAATTCAATGAATTGACAAGCTGTTAGGCCATTTCTTTAGTTGAAATTGTAAATGATTTCAATTTTTCAAACGTATGTTATTATGAAGCAAAATATTTCCATTTCGAGTGAGAAATTAATATTTATTTTACTAAATTTTCCAATACAAAATATAATAAATAGAGATTTATAAAAGAAAATAGAAAATTTCGTTTTCTTTCTTTCTTTGTAATTTGATTGCTTTAAATTATACAGAGATCTCAATAATTCGTTTCCTAGGCAGTGTATCATTTTTTTCATCGCGTCGAAGTGCACAGTAATTGGCATTGGTTTTGTTGAACACATGAGCCAGGCAAAAGGTCATTATGTGAGAACGAACTTGATAAAAGACAAGAGCCAATAAAAGTATCACGGTTACTGTCAATATGGCCAGAATGATATGAGGATAGAAGGTTAATAAAGAAGATGAAGCATATTCATTTTCCATGGGATCGCAATCAATATCTGTAATTGGCAACTGAATTAGCCGCCGGTATGCATTTGAAGATGGATATCCAGATAAGCAAATGTAATTGTCTTTTCCCATAATGAATAGAGGGGTTCGTTTGAGCCAGCGAAGAAAATGTTCACTTCGGCAGTCACATGAAAACGGATTTCCAGTCAAATTAATGTGAAAAGATCTGGGAAGATCAGCCAATAGAGCTGTCGACTCATTGTCCAAATGTTTAATCCTGTTGTGAGATAAATCGAGTGTCCGCAATTTAGGTGTACAAGTGAAATTGAGACGAATTTGGTTTAATGAATTCCCAGGAAGAAACAGCTTTTGTAAGGATGGAAGGAAACAGAAAGACGTAGAATCAGGAAATCCATGGATTCCATTCAGTTCCAGGGAGAGGAGACTTAACTCTGTCAAATTGGCTTCTCTCAATAGTGTTAATAGATTGGGTACAAATGATGGATTGGAAGTGTCGCTAAATGCTGAAACCAAATGTAACTCAACCAGATTGACAAAGGGCTTGAATAATCCTCGGTAATTGTCACCTGTTGATAGAAGGAGAAGAAACAACAGGTTATTAGAATAAAATATTATTAATAATTTAAATAAGGATTGAACAAAAAGGATCTAAGTAACTGTATATCTTAAATTGCAGTTGGAAGTGAAAAACTTCACCCTAAATAATAGATTATAAGGTCTACCTACGCACTTTGGTTAGTGCACTGCTATAGTGACCAGGTTATTGCACATAAGGAATAAAATTGTTTATTGTTGCCTGAATATGATTTGTATCTAATGAAAGAAGGTGCAGCTCTTGGTTATTTTTGCTGTTTCATTCAATTAGAGGTTGTCAGGAAAGGAAAAAATGTTTGACCATTGGACCAAATATAACTTACCTGTAATACGAATTTTGTTATGACTGAGAATCAACTTTTTTACATTGGTAAAACCAGAAAATGTTTGACCATCAATAAATTGTATATTGTTATTGGACAAATCAATATATTCCACGAGTTTGGGTTCATCTTTAGCTGCACCAAAAGTATCTTTTGTCAAAGTTGCAAGATTGTGTCCATTGATGATCAAAGTCTTTGTTTCAATTGGGATATCATGTAGCCAATTGAGCTTATTACGGTGATTAACTTCACTGGAACAATTAACGATATAACTTGTTGTTTCACAAGTACAATTAGCAGTTAATAATGAAGGTGGGCACACGAAAGTTGACTCCGAGGAAACAAGCGTAAACAGCAACAGTAAGCTTGCTAACGCATTAACCCGGTTAGTGATGAAATGGAGACTCAAACACATGATTGTATAACAGACGAAAACCGTTGTTGAGATTAAGCGATTGTTTTTTCCAGTCGAAAATCTAGTTCACTGTTGATGTTTAAAATGTTTAACATAACATTAACTATGAATTTATTAACAGGAGAAAAGAATGTACATCTCGGAAATTGACCATGATCAAGTTGATTGCTCGATAAAAGCCAAAATAAAAACAGATGTGTAACTATCCCGGTATCAAAATGGTAATCCTTTTCGAGATGTAAGCGGAAAAGTGAAATTTTTCGGGTTAAAAACTTAATGTAAAATGGATCCAAGTGAACAATTTAAATCATGGTAACTCGGAGAATCATCTTGAAAGGTAAACAAATCAACAATCAATGGTTTGCAATTAAAAAAGTAAACATACAAATTACAAGGGAGTTAGAGAGGGAAAAATAAATTTGTTTAACCAGAAAAGCTTTCAGGTTAAAGCTAAACTTTGGGATTGTGGGTTGGATGCAGGTTAAATGTGGATAACCTGAAGATGAAATGTGATTTAAGAATTGAAGATTTGAAAACAGGTAGACAGGAGGAGAGAGAGAAAGGGAGATAGAAAGAGAGTAAAATGATGGTGGCTTAAGACAACAAGAAGAGGGTAAAATGAGAAGTGGCCTCTCACTGCAGGAGACCTTATAAACTAATGGAATCTATTGATAAAAGAACAAAGCCAAACTATTCAAATTATGCCTTTTATTTGATTAATCGTTCATCTCTCGAAATTAATATTGAGCCCAATCAATTTTTCACATGGGAAAATTGTATTGGTCGGTTAACCATCCAGTCAAGTCACCCAATTGAGCCGATATTAGCCATAAATGAAACCGATTTTCACTTGTATTGCTGTAAAGTGAAATTTAATGTTTATGTTACCCGAGATAGTGTTATTGGCTGGAAAAGAAGCCAAATGATTAAGATGATGATGATGTTGCTGATTTTGATGTTGATGCTGATACTGAGCTCAGGATGATTATCATGAATTAGACTTGGGTGTGAGTTGCTTAGCTTGCTTCTCATCACTCTTTTTTGTTTGTCCTTTTTTTATTCACAATTTTGTCTTCAAATTGAATAAAGCCATTAATTGTCATCAGGACATTTTATTGCAATTTGATACTTTTTAACCAAAATTAAAACCAACAATATAACAACCCACAACCATAATTGGTATCCAAAAGGAACCACAAATGACAGAAATTAATTGCAACCAGAATAAAGTTGTCCAAGCTACTAAAGTATAGATTGAAAGATGCACTAAATTGCTATTAGTTTTAAATTCAATCTTGAATATTGATTGCAATCTATCAATTAGCACAGTTATCATTGATGTTTTGTTTCTGTTCAACCCAGAAGTTATCATTTACAATTTCAATATCAAGGTTAATGTTAAAGTAGCTATTGATTGTAACAATTAAACTCTACTTTTCACAGTCGCCTGATCAAGGGAAACAAAAATAAATATAAGTATTTACCTTTAATTTCTTGACTCAGTACCTGGTAAAGCTTTATCCATCAACATCATGTCAACCATTAACTGATTAGTCTACTTTTGTTCATCAACAACAATCAACTTGTATTTGGATAATTTTGCCTTCTTTTTTTACTTTACCTTTCCAAGAGTATTCAATGTGTACTGAATTGGGTAAACATCGAGACTCAAGTCAGAAATCACCATTAGACTGAAGAAGATGAAAAAGGTGAAGATGATGGATGAAAAGTAAGATGATGAGTGAGGTAAGAACTAGTGATTGATAGACACTCAAATCATACACTTAATACATTTCCAATAGTTGTCATTTGTGATTATCTACCTACAATTGTGATAACTCGTCCCTTTCAATTGTAAACTTATTTTCATTGTTTGTCAATTTTTTGGGCCTTTTGCAGTTTTACCTTTACTTGACATTAAGTTTACCCCAAAATAGGATTGAAGCAAACAACTGGATTCAGCTTTTACCGTGAATCTTGTGTTCAAGAGTTGATTTGTTGACTTTATTGTCATTTACTCATTTTTAAATTGGAACCACTGCAACACCAGGAAACCATTTTTGTTTAACCAGAAACAGGATTCTTATAAATTGGAAATCTCGCCGATTACAATTTACATGCCTTGGGTAAACAATTCAATGACAGCCAACCTTGCCGATCAAGTTAACTCAACCTGCATTGAGATTTTCAATCGAACGGTAAGAATCCAACTTTAATTTGTTACCATTCATCGCATACGAATAACTGGATCAGTGTTTGATGAAAAGTAGATGTAAAATAATCCTAATTAATCACAAATTTATAACTAGAGTTCATTGTTTCACGATAAACACCAATCAAGTCGACTCTGAAACGATTTATAAACAACATTTGATAAACACTAGACTTCAGTTGAATTTGCTTCCAATAGATGACGCTTCATTTACTCGATTTACTAATTTCTTACAATTGAATTTATTATTGAAGGGAGTTTTAATTCAAGAAGTTGAATTGGACCAACCATGTCTCCGATGTTTCAATGCATGTCCAGGTTATCAACCACACTCTTGGAGGTAAGTAACGTTTAATATCGACTGTTACTTTTACTGGAAACTCGGTTTAATCGATACCTTATTAAACCTGATGGTAAATTAATATTTGTAAAATAGTATACATTTCCGTGTGTTTATTTATTTCATAAATCAACTATTTTTAAGTTTATCTGTACAAAACTTGGCATATCATCATTACAACTTGGATTAATTAAGTTTCCAAAAACTAAACGTAATTATAATTGTAAGTATTAAAATATCATGAGACGAAATATTTCTTTCAATTTCAACATAATTTTTAAAATAGTGTATCATAATATGAATAATGATAAGGAAATGAAAATTTAACCCAAGCATCACATTTCGCAGTATATTTTGAGGTTAACCTAAACTTGTGAGATGTTAATGAAGATATGAGATTAAAATGATAATGATGATATTGAAGTCAAGACTCATGGTGATGTTAATGAAGATTCAAGGTTTAAAATGATTTCAAAGCTGAGGGTAAAAGGCTTAACAATTCCATGCGAGACCTCTGTAAGTTAGCTTTCCAAAGTTGCTAGGATCAGAAAGAATATCATTTTCAAGCTTAACCATACATATCAACAATTAAACTCAATTAATGCATCATCATGACCAAACAATATCAGTTGCTAATAAAGGTTCATATTGTGAGTCATGATGTATAACAACTGGATAAGTCTTTTTGTCTTTGGCTTAACCTGGAAAGGTAAACAATGGTTAGCCTTTTATGTGTTACAGAAAAGGATCATTGAACCAGTTTTCTGGTTATAACAATCTAAATCATTATGAAAATGTTGGTTAAACCAACAAGATTAGGCCTGGAAAGGAGAAAGTCGGACTTTAATAGAAAATTTCCTGACCAGAATCAATTATGGATGTGTTCAATAGAAAGATAATTCAAAATAATTACTGAAATTTAAATCCTTTTATTGTCCTGTTAAATTCAATTTTCACTTAATTTTAGGCGTTTAGTGAAAGCGCACTAACCTTGTGACAAATCATTGATCACTGAAATAGTGCTCCACTAACTCATGTAACTTGTTGCCCTGCCAAGCCTTTCTGGAATTGCGATTTGTTTCCGATGATCAATAGGAGTGGAAAGCATTAAAACAAGATAAAGAAATTTCGCCTTCAAATGGCGATTTAATTTTAAAAATGAGTGATACAATAAAATGGATCTCAGTTTCAGTATTTATTGAACTCTTTCTACTTTCTACTTTTGTATCGATAATTGATTCTAGTCAAGGGCGATTTCGACTTGCTCCATTGATTATCTCATAGTTGAGATAAAAAACAGACCAGCATTTCAAGTTGATAAGCCTTTAATTTAACAGTAAAATGATGACCTTTTGGGTTCTCAACCTTTTCTCAGTCTCGGTTTCTGATGTGTTTTAAGACATTTTGTTGAAACCAGACATTATCTTAACCTTTTTGTCATTACTTTCCCTGATAACCAAACTACCCTTTTAAATGGTTTAAGCGCCGAAAAAAGTGTTTATCTCTTATCATTGTTCTTGGTTGTTTTGGGTTATCTTTTCCCTCTTTTCACTTTCTCCCGGTTTTATTTTCACTCTCTTAGATCATCTCTTTCTATTTTAATCTCTTTCTCAGTCTTTCTGTCTTATATCAGCTCCCTCTATTGGAACTAGATCATGAATTACCATTATCATCATTATCATCGTATTCTTGCAGCTCTAAATTAATTTCAACCAATTGATCTTGAAACTTTTCAGGTGCTTCTTTTGTTATCAACTCTAACTAGCCATTGGAAGACCTTTCTAGTGCCATTGTACCTTTCAATTATCTAAACATTACCCCAACATCATTTGAACACCATTCAATATCTAAAAAACATCTAAATATCACCTAAACTGTTCCATTTTATCCAACCAACGTTGTAAGATTTTTTTTTGTTTCTAATTTTTCTGTCCATCTTTTTTTATTGTGATTGTCGTTTGCAAAATTAAGCTTAAAACCCAACAGTAAATATCAAAGTGTATCTTCTGTATCAAGTGAACTTGTTGGGCTCACTTGACAAATGATTAACCAAAGTAAATTATATTACAACTAATGTAAATATACATCTTATATTTTTACCGTCTCATTATGTGTTCAGGTCATGTCGTGTTTGAACACCTGACTTTATTTCTTGATCTATCTGGATACTTTTTTTACAATATTTAATTTACCATTGTCATTTTACCTTACCTTCCTAATCAGCATGTTTATCCTTAACCAGTTAACCTCATATGTTTTTTTGGAATCCATTCAAACTGAACATTTCCAACCAATTAACCAAGTCAATGTTAAGTCAACTCTAATCCCGTGATTTGTGTCACTGTTATTTTGTCAGCTCTTTTTTGCTCCTATTTTTTTTAAATTTGTGATTACCCTTCAATTATTATTGTTGATATATTGGTTAATTGAATATGCTAATTATCTTTCTTTTTGTGCCACTAACAGGAAAATCTGTCGAACCTGTAAATGTCCTCGAGAAGCTCATAACCTGAGCCACCAAGACTATGTTGATGTACGCAATAGGATTGGACTTAAAAAAGGAACCCTTTTTGATACCAAAGAGATTACACTCAGATCTGGTTACTCTTGGGTTCCCCCTGGTTTAACTTCTGATCAGGTTAGTTAACTGTAATTAATTTCAATTCCCTTCTCAATTGACTTACATTGCCTACTGAATCAAGAATCAACAGATGGTTTTTGTCATTGAAGTTACTTAAATGAAATAACTTGGTTAATCTATTAGATTTTCAATATTGAACTTCAAATTATCTCGTTTTCTTTGCTACCCTCAACTATCATAATGTCAAAATTGCATTTAAAATAAATTACCTGCTAACCTTCCTCATTTTTTTCAATTAAATTATGTGTTAATTGCACATGGTTTTCAGTTGCTCTTAATCACATGATCTCAATGTGCTTACAATATAAACCATCTTAAAATACAAAGTAAATTAGTACAAAATAAGACTCAATCTGTCATTCAGTTATGAAGTTACTCAAGTTTGGTGAAAAAAATACTCAACAAGTTGAAGTGTAAGCTTAATTCTGGTAATTCTTGGGCATGAAAAAGATGAAAATAGCTGGTATTATACAGTTTGACTCTAGCAATATCTAATAACACAACCATAGGAAAAGTAGTGAAAATGTATCTCAAAATAAACCAATAACATTTGGTTACCATTAATATTTACATTAAAAACAAATGCAATTGCATAATGTTGATTAGCAATAAATTTGCCTTCAATTATTCAATTACATTCAATTTTTACCATCAAACCAAGATCTTGAATGAGTGTGAAACATTTGCTAACATGCAACAGTATCAATCGTGTGACAAAATTTCAATCAACTTACAACAATTTAACCTTTAAACAGAAAATTGTCATTCATTTGGCAATTACCTTCAATCGATGAATTTTTCAAGCAATCAACTCACAACAAAGAGGCCTTTTTGCCCCAACAAAAATGCTAATAAACCAATTTAGCTGATAACCAACTGTCAGTTATTACAATCACAGTGAACTTTGATATTCAATAATCTATATCCAACTGTAAAGTACACACTAGGTTAGTGCATATGAAACGCTTTTTTTCAAATTAATCGCATTTCGTTTCACTTGGAGAGACTGTTATGACAGTGTTTGAATCAATCAAACTAACTTACAATGTTGGACAACCTGATTCGCTTAAATCTGTGTAAATTCAGACTTATTGTTGAGGTTTTGTCCCTTGAAAGAACTGTTGATTCTTCATATTTTTGGATAACCAGAAAATTAATTTATTTTGTTTGGTTCCTAAAATAGCAACAAATGACATCAAGTTTAATATTAAAGTGATAAAGTTATCACCAGTTATAACTTATAAATTATATTGTTTAAGTAACGGAAGGTATCATTGACGTAACTGTTGCTGATTCTATTAGTTGTGATCAAAATTAATTAGCGTGTCAATTGAAGGGATTGATGTAATGATACAATAAAGCACAAATTATACAAAAAGCTATTTTACTAATATCATTTTTTTTTCTTGCTTTTTATTTTACTTTACAGGTATTGGCATAATTGGTTTGCGTGTTCAGTCATTATATTTGCACAGAATGTTGTAACTTTTTGTTTAATCATGATAAGGTGGATCAGGATGATAGGATGAGGAAGGATGATAAATGAGATGCTAAAAGTATTATCCTAATGCAATACAACATTGCAATTTGATTCATCATTTTGGCGTTTCTCTTTCTCTCCATTTCAAGTTAAAAGCACACAGTCTTTAAGGCTTTACCTAATTTATCTGATATACATCGACAGGATATTATCCTTATTGATAGGAAATAATGTTTCAATTCAGGAAATTAACGTTGATTATAATCGATTGGACAAAGAAAGCATCAATGAAAACACGAGAACGTCTTTTCGCCAGCATTTTCCCCCCAAAACCTTCAACATGCACCAAATTAGGATTATTAATGTCTCCAATTTTGACCTACAATGATTTTAATTGAGACACCACTTTTGGTCATCACTTGTGTATAATGTTTAACCATTTGACTGTCCGTTTTTGTGGCTGTTTCTCACATTTACCCATCTTTTGTGTTGACCATTTTTTAGATGATTACATTTATGATAGGTTACAGGATATTTTATAATTTAACCAACCAAGTGTTATTAATAAATGAGATGAATTTGATCCCATTAAAGCGGTAAATTATTGCCTCTAATGTTGATTAAATTATTTGGATAGCTTTTTATAGTCATTGTGTCCATTAAACCAGGCAGACTTTAATAACACTGGCAATGATAAAGTTAACTGTATTATATGATAATAATAAAAGAGTCTGAGCAAATATTTAGAGTTGTTACTTGTTTAGTACTACTTTAATTCAATTAACTAAATTAAACTGGTCTGATGTAATAATTTACTCGCACAAATATTAATTTGTCATTCGTACCATTGCCAATGATAAAGAATACAATTTAAATGTAAAATGTAATGTTAATCTGATGCTGATTTGAAAAGCTTTTGACTATTGATTCATCCGACTTTACCTTTGTCATTTTGCTAACCATGAATTTTAATTTCTAATATTTTCCTTTTCTCTTTTCATTCCAGATTGAAGAATACTTTTCAACAATTCCTATTGAAAAAATTCCAAGACTTGGTGCTCCTGGTGAAAAATATCGCGATCATCAATTGATTAAACAGCTTCCAGCTTATGATTTAGCTTTAGCTTATAGTAAATTTGTTGAAACTGAAAGTCGACCGAAATTCCATGAGTTTGTAGAGAAGCGTAATATTTTTAATCTAGACATTGGATACGTTAGACCAGCCAATGAAAATAACAAGGTAGTGTTGTCAATTAACCTCATTTTTGTCCTTTAATTTGGTAAATCGAAGCAATTTGACTGATTATTTTTTATCATTATTTAATAGGTCTGCAAAAATTGTGGTAAAGACATTCGAAGCCGTGAAATTATAGTGATTGCCCCTAAATTAGGAGAGGATAATTGCTGGCATCCACCATGTTTTGTTTGCACCGTTTGCAAAGAGCTTCTAGTCGATTTGGCTTACTGTGTTAAAAATGGCTGCCTTTACTGTGAACGACATTTTGCTGACACAGTTAGACCAAGATGTTCAGGCTGTGATGAGGTAACTAAATCATCATTATATAATAGTATCTAACCAAGGCATAACCGGTAAAGTTGTTACAAGTCATGAATTAGCGAGTCTGAACATCCTTACAACTCATAAGTACACTCATTACAAACCTTTCACTTTACCATTCAGTTTTGAGAATACTTTCTTGATTAAATCTCAATTTTTAAAACTGAAGGCATGGTCTTTGAAAAAAATTCACATTTAATATGACCAATATGCTTTGTTGCAAAAATGTTGCTTTCATTAGCAGAATTGCCAACAATTATAATTCAAAGAGTTATTACTCTTCGAGAATTGCCTTGCAAACTCAACAAGTTTAGGTACCATTTGTAAAAATCACCCATAGATGGCGCCACATGCTCTAAAAGCAAATAAATGAACCAGAAACCAGAAATGACTCATTGGGTTTACCATAATTGTTTTGGTCATTTATTTTTACCCAAATAGTAAAAATAATTACACAAAATTAACTTATAAAATTAGATTGAACTCCGACATTTAAAGTGTCATTTTTTCACCATGCAAGCTATTAGCTGATCAAATGAGCAAATTGAATGATTTTTGTAATCAGAACTCAATTTTTTCATATTATAATTGAGAAAAGTTTAAATGAACCTTTAATTATCTAAAATTTTCATCTATTCTAGAATCAAATTATATTTTATGAAACAACGATTGCAACAGTTTAATTACGATGGGTTTCAGTTGAGTTTTCAAAGATTTTTTACGCCAATTATGAGTCATCTTTATTGGTAGGAAACCCACATTTTGGTTATTTTCTGGTTTTGTTTGACTCATTTGTCTCAACCCAATGGCTTTTAATAAATGTTTATTAAACTGATTTTAGTGGTAATAACATGTTATTGAGTAATAGCTTTACCTGACTCGATTATTGCTATATTATTCCTATCACTCAGGGAATGATAAAGCTTTTGGTTTACTTTTATTTCTTCCTGTTCTTTGTTTACAATCTCACTTTCATCAATATGTCAAGATGATCAGGATGATGATGATGATGATGATGATTCAACCCTGGTTGCTCCTCCTTAAAACTGCATTAGACTCAAAATTTGCTCAAAATACCTTCTTTGTTTTGCAGTCAAAACAAGATGTTAACCATGATTATATGTACCATTTGAGTGTATATTTAATCAAGATTGTTCATTGCTCTGCTTGAAATGATATAAATAACTATTGGAAGCCAAAAATCAGTCAAAATAATCGATACGATTTCAATTCTCATGTTGAAATGTAACTCATTTTGATTTTGCGTTCAACAAAATATATTTTGAATGTTCATTTAAATGTACATCAATTGGAGTGATTAAAAATGATGTTAACAATGCGATTGTATTTCAATTAACATGTTTTTTAACATTCCGTTAACCATTAATAACTGTTGTTGACAACTGTTGCTATAAAAGCAATATAAATGGTAAAATTATTGCTTATAACTCAAATTTTTGATTTATGTTCAACAGAGTCAATAATTTCACACCAATGCAGCTACCACTAAATGAGCATCTTTCCATGAAAATTGAATTTCACCATTAGAGCTGCCAAATCGATATTGAATAATCAATTGATACAGTCTTAATTCAAACACTGAAGCCTTTATAAATAATGAATGATAAACAATTAACCATTTTAACAAACTTTACCTCTTGTAATCAAATCGCATTTCAATGTAAAGAAAATGAAAATCAAGCTCAATCTTGAAATCAATTGTTTCCATCAAATTGAATTCGTTAATTCCTTCTTTTCTTACCCATTTCAGTTTGATAATGTTATTTTATACCTTTGTCACTTGAGACGAAACAAATTGTTTTAAATTTCATCTTTTCATTATAAAAGTCGCTTCAGTTCAATACAATATTAATCTTGATTCAAAGGGTTAAACTTGGCCAATCTTGAAACTCTTCAACTTACAAAGTACAGCATTTAAATGAACTAAATTGAGCTTCTAATGCTATTACGAATGAAATCATTGAAGACACAATAGTTAATCACATGTTAATTGGCTCATTTCAACTCAATTTAAGGTTAATCAAAGTTGAACTAAAATGATGAAAGGAATGAGATTAAACTTTGGGTTAACCTGTTAAATGGTTAACCAAACATGTGAAGCTTTCACACTCAATTAATGAAAGCATAATCAGATAAGTAGTTTGATAAACTTGATGAAAACACTTGATTCAGTAAGTCTCAACATTAGTCAACAACAACTGGAATAATCTTGAAAAAAAGAGTCAAGTTATTGCATGAAATTGCTTCAGCTGGGAGTTGAAAAATATAAATGATTGAAATCATTGATAATAGTTGAATAACAACTGTAAATGAAAATTTTGAAGTAAAGATGAAAATTGTAATCAAATTTTTTTGTCAAAATGTGAAAAATACGAAATATTTTTTCCATTAACTTTGAGAAAAGTGAAATATTTTGCAAAATTGTGCTCATTTGACTTTTTTAACGTTTCACATTTCATAGCAATAAGCTGAAGATAAAGATGAGGATAAATGTTTCCTTTTTAGGTGACTCTTAATAATCTATCTCATGGATTCTCTTAACAATCTTGATCTTTTTTTTCATTTCACCATCATCATCATCCTCATCTTGCGTCTGAAAACATCACACAACTGTACTTTGTTGCCCTGCACCTAACAGACACTCAAAGTATTTCTTATGCACACGACTCTCCACTGGTTATTTTTGATCTCATTTCCCTGTTTGTTTCCATCATCCTTCGTCTCACCATGTTCATCATCCTCACCATTATCATGTTCATCTTTACCATCTTTTTCCTGATTCTCATCCCTTTATCTTTGAAATCATTAGCGACTTTCAATCCATGAAAAGTCGCTTTCCAATCGCACACTTTTGATTGTTACAATTCAACATTGATTGTTGAATATTTAATGCTTATTTAATGATGATTCAATGTTGATAAATTGATCAATTTTGCTCTCAACTGTTGATTTTTACCCAATTAATGCCTAATGTTCAATTGGTTAGAGTTGCTTTGATTTATTGGCTCAACATTGCTATTTTAGACTTTTATTAATAGTTGAGTTTCTTTGATCTTTTTTCTTGTAACTTATTCCTTGTTGTTGTTGTTTGATTCATGAATTATCTTGATTCAGTGGGAACGAGATGATTCAATGAACATTTAACTGTTATCGTATAAATTGGTTGGCAGTTTAACAGGGATAAATGGTACAGTTGATTGTAATAGTTGAAAATGTTGTCTTGCCAACCTAACTACAGCTTTTTATAAGGTTTGTTAAAATTGATTGCACACGAAACTTAATTGTTTACTATTGATTGAAGACAACAACATCAACAATTACGACTTTATGACTCTATTTTTAAAATGATAATTAGTTAACCAGCGCAATTGAAAGACTAGATTTAAATCAATAACCCGAGCAACTGACTAGTCTCAAGTTAATGGTAACATATTGAATTTAATATAAACTGCCCATTACATAAATAATTCATAAAATGATTCAATCTGAAGAGGAGAAAATTTCAAAGAACTTTCTAATGAGGCAAAAATGAATCAATTGTATCTTGATCAACATCTTCAGTAAATTAATTAACTGCTCAACAGTCAACTTGATTATTATTAATTAAAATTAACAGCAGATTAAAGTGAAGATCTGTCAATAACAAGTTACTGAAAAGAGTCTGTATTTTGTATCTAATAGCATTTGGTTTTTAAATGATAAACAAGCTCAAGTATATTATCAAAATAATCCAAATGATGACATGAACAGTTGAAGTCATGACAGAGGAAAGAGTGAAAAAAGCGAAGGAGATGAAGATGCTGAAGATGTTTAGCAAATTCACAGGATGATGATCATGATGATGATGATACTAAAAAATGCCTTTTCCTCACGGCCCTGAAGCACAGTTAACTGTTGGCACACAAAATGGCACAATAAACCACATCGATAACTATATTTTATCAACAAGCACCGGCTCTTCCTCTCATCACATACACAAGTTTGTTCATCATCTTCAGTCTCTCTCCACCTACTTATAAGGTCCCTTCTTGCCTTCAAAAAAAGGATCTTTCTTTTTCTCTCTTTTTTCACTTTCTTTTCCTCATCACCTTTTCATCCCTCATCCCTCATCATCGGGAGCTGTAAACAACTCGAGTTACTTTTAAACTTGATTATTATAGCCCAATAACTTCGTTGAAATTGTTCATTTATTCATAGTTATCTATTCATGCTTGCCTTTTTGCTGGGTTAACTACTTTTTTTTGTACAATACATTTTGTTTCCTCTGTGAATCTTGTTTATTCATTAACTTACTTTTGATAACTCTTTTTATTAATTTAAAAGTTAATTGTAAGTGTTGTGAAATCATCATTAAGATTTAATTGTTTCATTGTAATCAACGGAAAAGTAAAAAAATGTCTGACGAAGTGTCTAATGTTGAAGTGAGGAAAATTGTGAAAACAACCAAAAAGAAGAAGAAGGTTACCATTGAAGGCGATGTTCGAGAAGAAAGATCAGGTTCAATCGAAATTACAAACACAATTAACTCAAATTCGAAGCCAGACAATGAGGTATGTTCATCATCATTTCCATGATAGTTCATTGCTGTCACCCATTTTGATGTTCATTACTTTTCCCTTTAAACTTTGATTTCAATATTCTTGACCATTTCAACTTGAAAACATTGTTTATTCATAATGAACAATTTCAATAGTTGATCATCTTGAACTTGTTTAGAGAATTTCAACTGAGAAAATGTTTCAAAATGAATTGATAAACTTGTCAATGACAATTGAAAAGATTGTTGGAATCAAATTGGTTGGATTTTTGGAAAAACTTGATTTCAACATTTTAGTTGCAATTATGTAAAGTTTTAATCAACTTCTTGCCGGTCAACTAGTTGTAATGATTTCTGATAATGAAAACTCCCAGTTGAACTCGACCTGGGAGTGAGTCTGACAGTTGTGTTGATGACAATCTGATAATCTTGAAAGTTGAATGTCTTTCAATTGGGAAAGTATTGAAGGAAAAAGAAGATGAAGAAAAATGTTGACGCAATGAAAAAAAATACCATGAATTTCATGTCTTCGTCTTCATCATCATCTTGTTGTTCACTTAACCAGAACCAAATTCCAAGCGTAATTAACTAAATAAGAAAGAGAAGAAAGAAAGATGAAAAGGAATGAAGAAAAGTAACAGAGAGATTGAAATGAGAGAGAGAGAGAAGATTCTGAGTGAGATTGAAGTTTTTTTTTCCATCACAGTTGAACTCACTTTTTTATTTGTTATTCAGTTATCAACATAAAATTGACTTGTTCAACAATTACCTTTGAATGAGAGAAAAGAGTATTTCTGTTGCCTGAAAAGTTCACTTATTAATATCAATCATTTCATTTCTTTGACTTCCATTGATCACCATTTCTGGACTCGACACAACCCAAACTTTAGCTCATCTTTTCTGGTGAATATACCAAAGCAATGAATAAAGATTGGCATTCAAGTCACTTTTGTTGCTGGCAATGTGATGAATCTTTAACTGGACAACGTTATGTACTCCGTGATGACCATCCATATTGTGTCAAATGTTATGAATCTGTTTTCGCCAACACCTGTGAGGAGTGCAACAAGATTATTGGAATTGATTCAAAGGTAAGTAAAACTAGAAACCAAATGAACACTTGATTAGCTTCTGTTGCCTTTAAAAGCTCATCACTACTGAATCATTATGACATAATTACTGATAATCACATTTTCCTTCCTATTCCAATCTTCATCACCAATTCACACCATGATGTTTACATGAATTTAAATTCAACATAAAGGGTTATGTGATGTTAACAAATTGACTAGCATAGAGACAGCCTTGAACCAAAAAAAGTGTAATGCAAAAAGGGTTTGTTTTGTTGTTTTTTGTGTTCAACTTGATTTGTTGATTGTTTCAGTCTAACCTTGAAATTTTTAAAGTGGCTAAACATGATCAAGAGGAGGATGATGTTCATGATGATTATCATGAGAATGTTACTGATAATCGAAGGCCAAATACTGTTGATTTATCAAGTTGACGTAATTTAGATGAAATTGTTATACAATGTTTATCAAGAAACGCTTCATTATTGCTACCTAAACTTGACTATAAGTTGATAATTTTTACTTATTTTTACCAATTTCAAATCTTTACTCAGTGTTGGATGATTGAGATAAATTGAAAAATTGATTCAATCTTTTGTAGGAAATTACACGAGGAATTTCAAGTTCATTTCTTTATCATGTTTCTTCTGAACATTTGATATGAAAAATTTTTGTTCAAAAAATTGCTTTATTGCAAAATAATATCATAAATTGCCATTTTTTGAGTCTGCAGTAGTTTCATTTTGAATATCATTTTACGTATTGAAATGATTTTGTTTTTTTGTTGTAAACTTGACATTGAATTTGGTTTGCATTTATATTACAATTAAGTTAACATTTGGTTGGCAATGATTTTTAGTTTTACTCAACAATTGAATGTCAATTTAATATGCATTTACATTTTAAATGCACTTTCTAATTGTAATGATACCTTTGACAATTGGGTTGATTGTTAGCCTGAGAAGGAATATTTTTAATGCATTTCCTATTTCCTATTGCATTGCCTTTGTTATATTTATCATTATAATATAAAATTTCATTGATTCACAAATATGTTACAGTTAACATGCAAAGGAAGTTCAAGTATTGAACAAAAATGTTTACCAGAAAAACCATCGATTCAAGTCAATCTTAATTGCAAATGAAACTTTCCAGGTTAGTCGAGATTTAAAATCAAGAATAAGCTTCCATCTTTAGACAATTTTAAAGTAAAAACAATTGTGATTAACTTTTGATAGTTTTGTTTCCATGAATTTGTTCAGGCAATTGAATGATAATGGGAAAAGTTTATATTTTTGTCTTTCTTTAATCACTCTTGGTGGTTAAATCGCTGCACTCGGTTCAATTGAAATCATATTAGATTAGCTTGACAAGACTTTGTTTTTTATCCAATAAATATCATGTTAACTTGTTATGTTGATTAAGTTGCAAAAGTTATGCTTCCCGGTCTTGTTTTGGTTTGAAGCCAGGTTTGTCACTCGTTACTTGATTGGGCACTTGAATCGTTTAGATATTCATAACAATTAATCATCACAATATTTAACCCAAAATTTTCTATTACTTTCACTTTTCCTCTTCCATTCATCCATTCAAATGTAGATTAAAATGTCTATGGACACGGCTTTGTACATTTGAAAAATTCAAGTGACGATGAAAATCATTAATCAAGTTTAACATTGAAGATGAACAAATTGGTTACAACTAATTGCAATTTTAGTTTTATTGTAATCAATTATATTACCGAGGAATTGCAAATATTTTATTTAAGTTATGATATTCAAATGTTGTTTGTTTTCTTGGTCGTAAATTGTATTCATTAGTTTACAGATTGTCAATGTTAACTAATGTTAATAAATGGCAATTACACAATTTAAAAAGCATCTTTACATTGGTAATTAATTATGAACAGTCAAGGTTATTTAATTGTAAAAATGAAACCTTATTGATTGGACTGTTGTTGGGTTTGGCAGGAAAATTAATCAACTGTACATGAAAGGGTTACTGGGTTTGTTTTTGTGTTATGTTGTAAACTTATGTATTCAGTATTGAGTTGGTTTTTATTTTGAATTGATTGTTTTGATACATTTGTTTTAATTGTTGGTCTAATTGTTTTTTTTCTCTTTAATTGATTAGGATTTATCTTACAAGGATAAACATTGGCATGAAGCTTGTTTCCTTTGTAATAAATGTCGAGTCTCTTTGGTTGACAAACCTTTTGGCTCTAAAGCTGAAAGAGTCTACTGTGGCGATTGTTACGATGAAGCCTTTGCCAGTCGATGTGATGGATGTAATCAACCATTCAAAGCAGGTAATTACCATCTAATTTGGTTACAGTTAACTTGCTTTATTGATAACCTCAACTCTAGACCCAGACAGGAAGATCCTAAACAAGTCAATTTTGATCTTGAATTTTGGTCAGTCAGACAGTTGACTGGTCTAGTTTAATAGCATACTTTAGACTATGATCGACTGGATTATGAGACTGATTTTATCAAAGAAACAATTAGTTTTAAGTCCGATTGTAAGAGCATTGATATTAAGATATTGTTACGTAAACTTTAAAATTTTTAGCACAATCAATCTTTTCAACAACCATTAGAATATTTTTCCAGCTTTTATATTTTGAGAATCAAATTTTAATCATTAATCCAAAAGAATATCTCGTTCTGAAATTCTCATCTGCAGGTTATTTATACGAATTTGATTGTATTTCCGCGTGATAATGATTTTTAACTTTTGAACCCTTTAGGTATGAAAAAGATGGAATACAAAGGACATCAATGGCATGAAAACTGTTTCGTCTGCGTAGTCTGTGCCAACCCAATCGGTACAAGATCATTTATCCCGAAAGACAATGAAATTTACTGTACTGGTTGCTATGAAGATAAATATGCTACTCGTTGCATCAAATGTAGTCAGGTTAGCAATTGTTCCTAATATTACATCAATAATTTATCAGTTATATTTGATTGTCTAACATTTTCATTTCATTATACAACTTAGATTATCACTTCTGGTGGAGTAACTTATCGTAATGCTCCTTGGCATCGGGAATGTTTCACTTGTACTGAATGTAACAACTGTTTGGCTGGTCAACGATTCACTTCACGCGATGACAAACCTTATTGTGCTGAATGTTTCGGTGAACTTTTCGCTAAACGTTGTACTTCATGTGAAAGACCAATTACTGGTAAGCAAAACGAGATGAGCTGAAATTGAACGCCTATCCAAGCTACTGATGAATTTTAATTTTAATTTTAATTTTATTCTTATTTTCATTTACACCAGGAATTGGAGGAACTCGATTCATATGCTTTGAAGACCGCAATTGGCACAACGATTGTTTCAATTGTGCCGAATGTAAAATCTCGCTTGTAGGAAAAGGATTCATTACTGATGGCCCTTCAATTTTGTGCCCAGAATGTGCTAAACAGAAGCTTCTTTAGATGAACAACTAATTTTATCTTCTTACATTGATCGATATTTCCGACTTCCTAACTTCCTCACTTAAACAATCATCGACAATTACGATTATAAGGATTGTTGAAATAAACGCTGATCCCAAGCTCTTGATTTTACATGCTCGCTAATATATCAACGAAAAAGCAAAGACAATTATGTTTGCTTATTTAAATTATTGATACAAAAATACAATTATTTTTCAACAATCATTATTGGAATTATATTGCACACCAAAAAAAATGAAATTAAATATTTAAGACAATTGCTTGTAGGATAAAGCACACAAATGGCAAATATTGAAAGCACCAAAACTACTTAATAACTTAATGATTTACTTGAACCTTTGAAAGGTTTATTGGGATTGATTGAATATAAATAGGATCAAACCCTTCATTTATTGTATTATAAGACAAACCAAATATGATAATTAATTTGGCCCAGCAGTTTTTCCGTCCGTTGATTGGTGCAAATAACCTTTTTATTAATAATCTAATCTAAAAAACGACAATGAAAGAGTTGATGATTGAAATTGAGCCATCAATGTATTGTAAATGAATTGAAATAAAATTAAATTTTACTCAACAAAAGCCTATTTTCATTCTTATTGAGCTTTTTATTATGCGTCAATGGTTACTACTAAATAGTTGATTACAACCTTAGATATAATGAAATTGGACAGAATTGTTTTCCAGTACAACAGTTAAATCGATCAACAGAAGCTTCCTTGACAGACAGATTTTAATTCTTGTCCAGTCAATGATTTAACAATGTCCTTAATTTCTTGGGTAACTGTCGTTGCTCCATTCTTTGCGACGAACCAAACTTTGACTGTTGAATAGTTAAAAAGAGAATATTATTGTACGAATTATCGTGCTAAACAAAAGTTTTCCTCACTCAAGTTCCTTACCATCAACAGTTGAAGCATCAATTTTAACACAACTTGCTAAGACGGCTGTATTACTTGTTTTTTTATCGAGATAAGGCATCCAGAATTGACCTCGATGACCATCTGTAATGAATATAAAATATCATAATAACTCTTTGCACCAACGGAAAGGTTAAAATTAAAAAGTTACCTGATGTAGTGATGTTGAATGAATAAGGATCGTATGTAGCGTTATAAACCTTATAATATGATTTACCATCGAAATCTCCAATGTTAATGTCCATGTATTTGTCCCATTGTGATCTTATATTGCTTTTAGAAAGAATCGAGTAGGTCGCATTTATAACTGAAACATCATAATGAAAAAGAGTAACTTTATTGGAACTTACCTGTCTCGAGTATCAGCCTTTTCGATAATGGCAACTTTTCCAGGATAAAGGTTGAAAATATCAATCGTATTATGAACTGTTTTTGGAATAGTTTCATCGCTGCGACCGTAAACATTCCATGTACGTACGAACTGAGTAAGAGAATAATATTTGTCATAATCAAATAAAAAAGAATGAAAAATAGCTTACATTTGAAAAGTACCAATAATCAACTTTGGGTTTTTCTGGTTTTGGACACGAACCCTTGATTTTAACGGCAAATGAGCTTGAAATTGCAAGAGCAATCAAAGCAACAAATAAAATTGACTTCATTTTTAACTTTAATGTTTATTCTAAATGCTTGTTCAATCCAATTGAAACTGTAATGACTTGGTGTCGACTAGTGAATCGCTTTTTATACACAAGAAGTGCGTCGAATGCTTACCGCACACAGGAAATTGCTGTCAAAGCGAATAACAACAACAGTCGATATAAAAATGTATTTTCTGTATCATTAGTAATGTGTTTGTATTTCATTTCTCCGTACATGAGTCCACTGATCACAAAAAACACAAAATGTACAAACGATACATATATTATGAAGTCTAGTGCGGAGTCAAAGGCTAATTACATTGAAAATTGTTATGCTCATCGACAGTAACTCAAACTCTTTAGAACGCTTTAGAACTCGGTTTACGGTTTTATCTTTCTACTTAAAAGAGTTTCTAGTTTAAAGTTTGCAAAGTTTTAATTCGGATGAACCTTTACACTGGATTTTACAATGGAAAAGGAAACAATTGCTAGTTTGAGCCCTTAAATGGTGATGAGAATGAACATCTTGCCTGATCAATAAAATAAAACTTATTGTGATTGAATTGAGAATGATACAAATATTGTATAATTGTTTGTTTACTGCATTTTTAGCTAAAGTTTTCTAGTTAAACAAGTCCATTTGAAATGGAATCAAAATTTAGTAGCTTGTTGAAAAGTTTCTTTTCATTAACCAGAATCGTAATATTGTTAAACTTGTCAAATCACCGTTGAGTTGAATAACAATAGTGGATGTAATTAGCCTTCAATTTCGCTCCAAATTACTTTATAATATTATGGTAAATGTATTTTTTGTAATGTTTGTATTATTTGTTCTCATCGGTCTATGTGTCAAAGTGAATTTTCAATTTGTTATTGCACTCAAAGCCATTGTAAGTCATTGAAATCGTTTTGAATCAAATTTAAAATGAATTTTCCCAAAGCTTTCGCACTAAACTTTATCATGATACAATAAAACGGTAGATAGCCGCACGTAAATTGCATATTCAATCATAAGAAGATAATCAAGATCACAATCAATCGTATTACGAAGTCGAGACCATTGTTTTTGCATCATTAAAATAAATCAAAGAAAACGAAAGATACGAAAATTGGTTTATTCTAATATCATAGCGAATTCCAGAGCAATGTCCAATGTTACATCGACAATTGATATGAGCTATTATTTGCACTGACAGCGATTTCCCATGATCGCTAAACATTAGATTCATTTCTTGTGTATAAAAAGCGGTTCACCAGTCCACAACAAGTCATTACAGTTTTCATTTCAATTGATCCTTTAACCCAATTAAAATAAATATTTCGAGTTAAAATGAAGTCGATTTTATGTGTTGCTTTGATTGCTCTTGCAACCTCAAGCTCAATTGCTGTTAAAATCAAAGGTTCATGTCCTAAACCAGAGCCAGCCAACCTTGATGATTGGACCTTTCAGCACGTAAGTTACAGTACTTTTAATCGTTATTACATGTATCATTAATAGTATGTAATTCCCTTAGTATCTAGGCGATTGGAAGGTTTTGGGTCGAACTGAAGAAACCAAACCAAATTCAGTCTGGAATAATCTTCAAATTCGTCATCATTATCCTGGAAAAGTTGTCATGATTGAATGGGGTGATGCTCGAGACACGTAAGTTTCAATCAAAAGCTTCTTTTCAATTGCTAATCATCCATTTTAACAGTCATGTTAGATCACAATGGGACAAATACATGGACATGATTATTGGCGATTTTGGTGGAGAATCATATTATGATGTTCATGACTATGAATTTGATCCATACTCATTCAACTACACCACTTCAGGTAAAAAATTAATATTGATTTGTATCTTTGAAACAACCAGTTACAATATTATTTTACATTCATTTCAGATGGTCATCCAGGACAAATTTGGATGCCTTATTATGGTCGTCCCAAGTATGCTGAAGCCGTCTTAGCAAGTTGTGTTAAAATTGATGAATCAACTGTTGATGGTAAGTTTAATCATTACTTTAATTTTGTTTAGTCCAAGAATTCGATGATTTTCATGTTTATTTCATTCTTTTCATTTATTTAACAGTCAAAGCATGGTTCGTTTCAATGAGCACAGGAGCTTCACCATCAGATGAAGTTAAAAATATCATGCAATCATTGACTGGACAAGAATATCGTACCGTCTGCCAAGGAAGCTTCTGTTAACTCATTCGCACAGAATACAGAATGAAATTCAGCAATTAAACTCTTTATGTACACATTTTAAACTAATGTTCAAATTTGTGTCAAATCCATGTTTTCGAATAAGAGTATTAAATAATTTTGCATTATTTCTCGTTCTGATTATTATTTTATTCTCTAAATAGCCTTTCGATAGAGATTTGGTTTGATTTTTATTTACGATTCGAAAATATTTTATCTAATAATCGATGAGATCAGTTTATTCATTATTCAATTCTTAATCATTCAAATCACAATTCCATCAGATTAATTTGTTGGCAGCTAATTGGAATGCAATTGTGAAACTAAACTGACTATTGTATTTGCAATTCGTGAAATCCATCTTACTGTATCGAATAAATACAATGACTTTTTATGTTGAATAAAAATCTGATCTATTGGTTCTGTTACCACAATTCATTTTGAGCAAAAATCAAATATAACTTTGTTCAACATTAAATGTAAAATTCAAATCGTTATATCTTCAGAGGTTTGCTTCAACCTGTCTGAAATTTCGTAAAAATCACGTTTCAATCGACATGAACTCACTTAACTATCCTTTCAAGGCTCTGACCTCAAGACAACCCGAAATAATGAACTTTTTGCTATAAAGATGCAACTTTTATTGAGATTTGCTTATTGCGTTTTCTAACTATTACTGTTGCCAATACAACTCATAAACCATTTTATGTTATGATGGATATAAATTTCTTATTCATTCAACTTCACTTTCTCAGCAGTTCTTTCACTTTCACCTTTCCGTCCGGGCAACTTATTGTGATTGAATTGAAACTGAATGTAAATCCCTTGTCCGATCATTCAACTAGGTGACGCTTCTTCGATAAGTGTCTAGAATTGCTATAAACAACGATATTAACTCATTTTTAGCTAAAATCTTCTAACAAGTTAGTCCAAATCAATTGGAATCAAAATTGGATGAGTTGTTGAAGTCTCTTTCCATTAAACAGAATCGCAATACTGTTGCACTTGTTTCACTGTTTCAGTGAATAACAATTCTCGATGTAATTAGCCTTAAATTTCGTTCCAAATTACTTTACAATATTATGATAAATGTACAATGTATTATTTGTTTTCCACGGTTTATGTTTTGAAGGTTTTGAACAAATAAGTTACGCACAGGTTTTGATTTGTATCAGATGCATTGTCAATCCATTTTGCATTTTTACAAGTCGCTTCATTTTCAATCTTTCGTTCGTTCGTTCGTTTTAAATAATGTTACCAACAGAGACTTTTATTAAATGTATTTAGCAATGCAAATCGATACAAAATTTTGAGCTTAGAATCAATGAAACCTGAAACCGTTTACATTATTATTGTTTTGTCGCATGATTTGACACGTCATTGTGCAAACACTGAACACTAATAACATTTCATTTGCATCTGTCTTCATTGTTTTTATGTGATTTTACATGAATCCAGCAGATGATTTTCAGCTCTAAACTCGAAAACAAGTAGCTTGGACGATCTTTAGTTAAATAACTTTTAATGCGATTTGATGATCAGGAGGAAAGCATATCAATTGTCGATGTAACATTGGACATTGCTCTGGAATTCGCTATGATATTAGAATAAACCAATTTTCGTATCTTTCGTTTTGTATGATCAATAGTTTCCGATAAAATCACAATATAATTAACACCAATCAAGACTAATTAATGGTTGATTGTGATCTTGATTATGAATATGCAATTTACGTGCGGCTATCTACCGTTTTATTGTATCATGATAAAGTTTAGTGCGAAAGCTTTGGGAAAATTCATTTTAAATTTGATTCAAAACGATTTCAATGACTTACAATGGCTTTGAGTGCAATAACAAATTGAAAATTCACTTTGACACATAGACCGATGAGAACAAATAATACAAACATTACAAAAAATACATTTACCATAATATTATAAAGTAATTTGGAGCGAAATTGAAGGCTAATTACATCCACTATTGTTATTCAACTCAACGGTGATTTGACAAGTTTAACAATATTACGATTCTGGTTAATGAAAAGAAACTTTTCAACAAGCTACTAAATTTTGATTCCATTTCAAATGGACTTGTTTAACTAGAAAACTTTAGCTAAAAATGCAGTAAACAAACAATTATACAATATTTGTATCATTCTCAATTCAATCACAATAAGTTTTATTTTATTGATCAGGCAAGATGTTCATTCTCATCACCATTTAAGGGCTCAAACTAGCAATTGTTTCCTTTTCCATTGTAAAATCCAGTGTAAAGGTTCATCCGAATTAAAACTTTGCAAACTTTAAACTAGAAACTCTTTTAAGTAGAAAGATAAAACCGTAAACCGAGTTCTAAAGCGTTCTAAAGAGTTTGAGTTACTGTCGATGAGCATAACAATTTTCAATGTAATTAGCCTTTGACTCCGCACTAGACTTCATAATATATGTATCGTTTGTACATTTTGTGTTTTTTGTGATCAGTGGACTCATGTACGGAGAAATGAAATACAAACACATTACTAATGATACAGAAAATACATTTTTATATCGACTGTTGTTGTTATTCGCTTTGACAGCAATTTCCTGTGTGCGGTAAGCATTCGACGCACTTCTTGTGTATAAAAAGCGATTCACTAGTCGACACCAAGTCATTACAGTTTCAATTGGATTGAACAAGCATTTAGAATAAACATTAAAGTTAAAAATGAAGTCAATTTTATTTGTTGCTTTGATTGCTCTTGCAATTTCAAGCTCATTTGCCGTTAAAATCAAGGGTTCGTGTCCAAAACCAGAAAAACCCAAAGTTGATTATTGGTACTTTTCAAATGTAAGCTATTTTTCATTCTTTTTTATTTGATTATGACAAATATTATTCTCTTACTCAGTTCGTACGTACATGGAATGTTTACGGTCGCAGCGATGAAACTATTCCAAAAAACAGTTCATAATACGATTGATATTTTCAACCTTTATCCTGGAAAAGTTGCCATTATCGAAAAGGCTGATACTCGAGACAGGTAAGTTCCAATAAAGTTACTCTTTTTCATTATGATGTTTCAGTTATAAATGCGACCTACTCGATTCTTTCTAAAAGCAATATAAGATCACAATGGGACAAATACATGGACATTAACATTGGAGATTTCGATGGTAAATCATATTATAAGGTTTATAACGCTACATACGATCCTTATTCATTCAACATCACTACATCAGGTAACTTTTTAATTTTAACCTTTCCGTTGGTGCAAAGAGTTATTATGATATTTTATATTCATTACAGATGGTCATCGAGGTCAATTCTGGATGCCTTATCTCGATAAAAAAACAAGTAATACAGCCGTCTTAGCAAGTTGTGTTAAAATTGATGCTTCAACTGTTGATGGTAAGGAACTTGAGTGAGGAAAACTTTTGTTTAGCACGATAATTCGTACAATAATATTCTCTTTTTAACTATTCAACAGTCAAAGTTTGGTTCGTCGCAAAGAATGGAGCAACGACAGTTACCCAAGAAATTAAGGACATTGTTAAATCATTGACTGGACAAGAATTAAAATCTGTCTGTCAAGGAAGCTTCTGTTGATCGATTTAACTGTTGTACTGGAAAACAATTCTGTCCAATTTCATTATATCTAAGGTTGTAATCAACTATTTAGTAGTAACCATTGACGCATAATAAAAAGCTCAATAGGAACCATGTGAGTTAAATCATTTTTCACTTTTAAAACGGCCTCAAGTTTCAATGTAGCAACAAAACAAACCGAATTTCGTTATGTTATCCAAAATGTGGTTCCTAAATTGTGCACAAGTATCAAGGTTATTTGCACCAATCAACGGACGGAAAAACTGCTGGGCCAAATTAATTATCATATTTGGTTTGTCTTATAATACAATAAATGAAAGCTCAGTATGTTCACCATTAGTGAATTGGAGGTCTGGTCAATTATTGATTAAAGAGACAACAGGTGTGATTTCCCTACATTCCATTTTCGTCCATGTACTCGAAGATTAAATCAAGAATAACAAATAAAACAAATGATACAAAAAATACATTTTAATCTTCTATTGTTATTTAAACTGTCAGTGATTTTACATGAGCGATTCACATGAGTTTTATTACTTGTGTATAAAAGCGATTCACAAGTCGACAACAAGTCATTACAGTTTTCATTTCAATCGATCATTGAATTGCAAATCAACATTAAAAGTTAACATTCAAGTTAAAAATGAAGTCGATTTTATGTGTTGCTTTGATTGCTCTTGCAATCTCAAGCTCATTCGCTGTTAAAATCAAGGGTTCATGTCCTAAACCAGAACAACCCAAAGTTGACTATTGGTACTTTTCAAATGTAAGCTATTTTTGATTGTAATCGTCATTATTATTAATCTTATTTTATCCAATCAGTTCATAAACGATTGGAAGGTTTTAGGTCGAACTGAAGAAACTGAACCCAATTCCGTCTGGAATAATCTTGAAATTCGCCATCTTTATCCTGGAAAAGTTGTCATGATTGAATGGGGTGATGCTCGAGACACGTAAGTTTTAATCAAAAGCTTCTTTTCAATTGCTAATCATCCATTTTAACAGTCATGTTAGATCACAATGGGACAAATACATGGACATGATTATTGGCGATTTTGGTGGAGAATCATATTATGATGTTCATGACTATGAATTTGATCCATACTCATTCAACTACACCACTTCAGGTAAAAAATTAATATTGATTTGTATCTTTGAAACAACCAGTTACAATATTATTTTACATTCATTTCAGATGGTCATCCAGGACAAATTTGGATGCCTTATTATGGTCGTCCCAAGTATGCTGAAGCCGTCTTAGCAAGTTGTGTTAAAATTGATGAATCAACTGTTGATGGTAAGTTTAATCATTACTTTAATTTTGTTTAGTCCAAGAATTCAATCATTTTCATTGTTTGTTTCATTCTTTTCATGGGTTAATTAGTCAAAGCATGGTTCGTTTCAATGAGCACAGGAGCTACACCATCAGATGAAGTTAAAAATATCATGAAATCATTGACTGGACAAAAATACCTTGAAGTCTGCCAAGGAAGCTTCTGTTAATTCAATCGTACAGAAGACCGAATGATATTCAGCAATTAACTCTTTATATACCCATCGTAAAACTAATTGAATAAGAATATTATTATTAATAAATTATTTCTTATGATTCCTTATTTCTTTGTATTGAATTTCAATTATTTTATTCTCTTAATTACTTTTTTCAAAGGTTTGATCTGGTTATTGTTTACGGAATCAAAGGGAAACAGTTGAAAATAAAGTTTTGTATCAATCAAGATTATATCGAAAAACTTTAAGTTCATTAATTTGAGTTTCTAAATGATGATGATGACGAACAATCTTGCCTGGTCAATATTGTCAAATGAAACTTGTTGTGATTAAATTGAAACTTAATGTGAATCCTTTGTCCGATCATTCAACTTAGTTTACGCTTCTTCTATCAGTGTCTTGAATTGCATAAGCAACTATATTAATTCATTTTCAGCTAAAATCTTCTAATAAATTAGTCCAAATCAATTGGAATCAAAATTGGGGGAATTATTGAAAATTGCTGATAAAGTGAATAACAATAGTCGATGTAATTAGCCTTCAATTTCGTTCCAAATTTCTTTATAATATTTTGATGAATGTACTTATTGTAATATTTGTTTTCCTCGGTTTATGTAACAAATAAGTTTGCACTGCTTTGGATTGGCATTGAATGTATTGTTCATCCACTGAACATTTTACAGTTTCAATCATTCAATTCATTTGTTCAATTTAATTAGGTTACTATCTAAGACTTTTATTAAATGTATTTAACTATGCAAATTGATTCAAATCTTTATACACATCTTTGTACAATATCAATCAATGAAACCTGGTGTCGTTTACATTATTATTGTTTTGTCGCATGATTTGACACTTCAATGTGCAAATACTGAACACTAATAACATTTCATTTGCATCTGTCTTCATTGTTTTTGTGCGATGTTACATGAAACGAAAAGATGATTTTCAGCTCTAAACTCAAAAACAAGTAGCTTGGACAATCTATTAGTTAAACAACTTTTTGGTGATGATTTGATGATTAGGAGCAAGGGATTACTGATACAGAATGAGAACACTTGCGACTTCGTGTCCAGAGCCAGAACGACCCAAAGTTGAATATTGGACCTTTCAAAATGTAAGTTTGTTTTAATATTAGGCTTCATTTTAATCGTCATTATCATTAATATTATTTTATTCACTTAGTTCTTAGGCGATTGGAAGGTTTTAGGTCGAAGCGAAGAAACTATTCCAAAAACTGTTTACAATACCATTGAAATTTTCCACCTTTATCCTGGAAAAGTTGCCTTTGTCGAGAAGGGTACTAATTGAGACAGGTAAGTTACAATAAAGTCAAGTTTATCACGAGAACTAATTTCATCTCATTCTGAAAGAGATGTAAGATCACAATGGGACATGGGTAAATCATTTTATGATCGACATGAAAATAAATACGATTCTTATTCATTCAACTTCACAACCTCGGGTAAACTATGAATATTAATTTCCATCTTTGAAGCAATTAATCAACATATTTTACATCCATTTCAGATGGTCATCCAGGACAATTTGGATGCCTTATTATGGTCGTCCCAAGTATGCTGAAGCCGTCTTAGCAAGTTGTGTTAAAATTGATGAATCAACTGTTGACGGTAAGAAAAATTATTGTTTTCAATTTTATTTATTTTTAATAGTCTAATAATTCAATCATTTTCATTGTTTGTTTCATTCTTTTCATTGGTTCATTAGTCAAAGCATGGTTCGTTTCAATGGCTACAGCAACTTCAGCATCAGATGAAGTTAAAAGTCTTATTAAATCGTTGACTGGACAAGAGTACCGCACCTTCTGTTGGGGAAACTTCTGTTAATTCAATCGTACAGAATACAGAATGAAATTCAGCAATTAAACTCTTCACATATTCATTGTAAAACTACTTGAATAAGATATTAAATCATTTTGCATTATTTCTCATTCTGATGAATTGAATTTCAATTATTTCATGATTATATTATACATGCATATGATTTATTTGGATTGTTGTTTACAGTGAAAAAAAACATTTTATTTAACAGTAAATGAGATCAGCTGAGTTTATTCGTTTTTCAATTGCAATCATTCTAACAATACCATCAGATTAATTAAAATCATAGATTCGTATCCAAAACCAGAACAACCAAAGTTGCTTAACTTATTAATATTTGTTATTGATAATTTTCAATTGCAAGTTTCTAATCATTTTTATTATATAATTGATAATATGATTCCATTAGATCATATAAAATTGGAATGTTTTAGGTCCAAGTCGAGAAACGTTGCAAATTAAGTCTGGAATACTCTTGAGATCATATCCGTCTCTATCCAGGAAATATACGTTATTGACATCGGTTATGCTCGAGACAAGTAAGTTTCAATTGAAAGCTTATTCGTTGCGAGATCTTATTGATATCATGCTAATAATTGATTAATAAATCATCTCATTCTGAGAGAAATGCAAGAACCCTATGAGACAAGTATATCGACATGCTGATGGTTTTGGTGGTTAAACATTTGTCGAATACCATCCCAACTCAACATTACAACGATATTTTTTATTCATTACGGATGGTCATCGAGGTTTATTTTGATCATTTTGATGCCTTATTAGCCAGTTGTGTTAAAATTGATTCATCTGTTGATGACAAGCGAATTATTGATTAAAATTTTGTTTTTAGTATTTAAATCTCAATTCCTTTTTCAATAGACTATTAATTAAACCATGGTTCGTTTCGATGCCAAAGTTGCTTGAATCATTGGCTGGACAAAAAGTCTTTCTAACTAGTTAGTTAGCTTCTGTTGATCAGTACGAAGCTTTAGTTATTCAAAATGAAATAAACAATCAAACTTTTCATCTGGTCGTTGTAACACTTTCTATGATTTTAAAGCTCGATATTATCATGTTTCACGGAATTTCATAGATAAAATCAATTCAAAACTTTATTACTTGAATTTGCTCAACAAAAACAATTTTGATCTACCCATGCAGCTTTATCAACTACCGTATCTATTAATTCAATGTGAATCTTTTGTTTGTAAGCTGAATCAATAAAACTCAATTTACTCTGATTCCGCACCTTGTCATTATTTCAGACTGTATCTCATCGTCTGGCAAAGAGCCTGATACATAATCTGACATACAATCATCAATAGATCAAATTATTTTGAGTCGAAACATTTTGTCCTCGTCAGTGTTTTTGCAGCATTATTATTCTTGTACTATTTTTGGGGATGGTTCAAGCTTATGAGAGTTAATGTTTCTATGCAATCTTGATCAACTGCTACTGATCGGCAAGAATATTATCGAAGAAAATATTAAAATGCCAACATCCTCGAGTCCATCTAATGATATTTTCTTTTGTTTGCTAAGTAGGAACCCCTAGTCGATTGGGTTGTCGCTGGTTTTGACGAGAAACCATCGACCCTTATTCAGTAATCTGTTTCCCTTGAATTCATATTGGCAAATGTTATCAAAATTGGAAACCAAACTTGGGTATCAAACCAATTAGCAGGTTAATCACTCCTCTTGTTCAGGTTATCCCAACTCGATAAATGAAATTATCACTAATTTGACATTGAAAACTAAGGTTAATCTCAAATTAAATCACTTTATTATCCGAAAACTCAGTAATAAAATAATAAATTTGATTTGGTTGCCGGTTACAAATAAAGCCTTCTTATATGACAATTAATGTTGATTTTAATTTAGTCATGATCCAATTCTTAACGAATTCTTAATGATAGATGTCAATCAAATTCTATCTACAAACAATTGGAGTTTATTATTAATGGTTACAGAGTCAAAAACTATTGTATTTTCAAAATGCATCTATTTTGTTTGTTTAATGCGCGTTTATTTGAATACTATCTGTTGATCCATTGGAATTGGTACTTTCCCAGATCCAGTAGATACAATGGTTTTTGTTGTTATTCAAAAGCTACCTCAACCTCTATCGTGATGTAATAATGTGTAACAATTTATTTTAATTAAATATGATTTCATTGCCTATTTATCTTTTAATCAGTGTTAACTATTTACTTCATTGTTGAAAATATTTTGTTCGTATATAAGTTGCGGAAAAATCCATTGGAATGGATCACATTCATTTAAATAACCAAAATGTTCACACGTTTGGTTTCTTTACTTGTTGTATACATTATATCGACTCGAGACCTATCGCATTGTTGTCAAGTGAAGCAGTTTGCTGGCAAGGATTCATTTGTTTGTGTTTGCAATGAAGCGTATTGTGATTCAATTGTAACTGAACCCAATTCTTTACCCGATCATTTAACTATCTTTCAAAGTGATGCTGCCTCACATCGTTTCTCGAAGAGCATAATAAGTTTCAATGAGTTACTCTTAGACTCAGATGCGCTTGTCGATGTACACATTAAAGTCAACGGGACTGATCGTAAACAGCAAATCTTTGGCTTTGGTGGATCTTTCACTGACTCAGCTGGTATTAATATAAAAAAGCTTCCAGCCAAATTGGTAGACCAGTTGATTGAAAATTATTTTAGTGAAACAAAAGGACTTGGTTACACTTATGGACGAGTACCCATTGCTGCATCTGATTTTTCCCAAAGATACTACACCTATGCTGAAGTTGCAGACGATTTCGAGTTGAAACATTTCAAATTAGCTCATGAAGATACACTTTACAAGGTAAGTTTTATGGAAATAGAGAGTTAATACAAATCTAACAGTAAATCTATGAACTCAAAATTGCAGATCCCATTGATTAAAAAGGCACTCAGTGTATCCAAAGATCTTAGACTTATCTCTGCACCATGGGCACCACCATCATGGCTGAAAACAAGTCACAGACCAAAAGGACTTGGCATTTTACAAGATGATCCTGGAAGTAAATACTGGAAAACATATGCTAACTATATCGTAAAGTAAGTAATTATTTAGCTTACCTAGGTATAAGTTAGCTTCTTAATCCACTTTCATCTTTTTATGGTAGATTCTTGGAGACTTACGTACAACATGGGATCCATTTTTGGGGAGTGAGTCCTCAGAATGAGCCTTCAACAGGATTGATGCCGAATTGGCCCTTGAATACATGTGGATTTTCTGGTCACATGATGAGAGATTACATTAAAAAAGATTTGGGTCCAGCTCTGAAGAAAGCAGGTTTTGGTAAAGATAAAGTGAAACTAATGATTTGGGATGACCAATTATTAGACATTATGCCGTTCATACGTGTAATCCTCGAAGATAAAGAAGCTGCTGAGTATGTTTCAGGTGTAGCCTATCATTGGTATTCTCGGCGTTTCTATGAGTTATTGGATGAAATCAAGATGACCTACCCACAAGTCTTTCTACTTTCAACTGAAGGTAGTGAAGGAGTTTATGCAGCTGAACGAGGTAAGTCTTGTTATTCAAACAATTGCTCAGTTCTCTGAATGGAATTAATTATTGTTATCAAATATATTTGTAGTATCATTGGGAAATTGGACTCGAGCTGAAAGATATGCCACAGATATAATTGAAGGTCTTAACCATTGGTCAACTGGTTGGGTTGATTGGAATCTCGCTCTAGATGAAAGTGGTGGACCAAATTGGGTTAATAATTTCATCGATTCAATGGTTATTGTCAACAATACTTCACCTGAATACTACAAACAACCAATGTATTATGTTTTTGGGCATTTCAGCAGATTCCTGAGGCCTGGTTCAACACGTTTGGGCCATTCTATCATTAAGAATAATGCAGAAAATGAAGTTAAGTTAACAGTTTTCCAGACTCCAACAAATGATACTGTTTTAACCGTTCTGAACAAGAAAAGTGCTCCAATCAAATTAACGGTTGAAGGTATGAATGTCAAACCATTCACACTGACATTCAGCCCTAAATCAATAACAACAATTGTTAATGCTTCTCATTAATTGCATTTGGCTTGTAATTTAAACTTAATTTTGCCAAAATTTTTCCTTCCTAATAAAAATTTATAATATAACGATAACAATAGTTATTTGGATGAAATCAATCAGTTCTAAGATAACGTAATTTTTTTATTTACAATTTAATCACAATTCTACATAATTTTGTTATTCCACTGTGCGTTGGTCTAAAAATACCAATTAACGAGTCTGATTGGTAATAAATAAAACGTTATGAACGATGATGAAACTAACCGACACGCTATTTTTTAGATGTAAATCTGGCCAGACTTTGACTGGACAAGAATTGGTTAGTTTCTATTAATATACAGTCGACTACCTGAAATTGTCCCTTTTTGTGCGAGGAAAAAATGAGTGCGCTTTTCAATGGTGATGAAAATTTTATAAATCTTTCAAAGATTTGACTCTAGTCGAGGGACAATTTTAGGTAGTCTACTGTACATTTAAATGCCTTTGATCAGACTTTATATCAAATATTCATCAGTATTTTTAGATTAAAATCAATAGCAATGATTTTTCATCAGTATTTCGTAAAACAAATAAATTTTCTAATAGTTTAATACAGCACAAATGAATTATTGAAAAATTGAGCCAAAAGAAATGCTGATCTAAGTTCTGGACTTACCTAGAACTTGACAGAGAATCAAAACAGAGTTTTGGGTGGAAAACATCAGTGGAAAATGAGTGCGTGAAGTTTCCTATCGAAAACAAAGTCAATCTATTTTCTATGAATTCATTTAATTACCGTGAAAAGGCATTAAAAAAGGTTGTTTACTGATTTCTGACGAAAAATTGATCAATATCGTGATAGCTTGATAGTTGGTAAAGATATTAAACCCGTTTCTTCAGAAGAGCTTTTACTTTGTATAAATGGAGAGTGAGTTCCATTCCTCGAGTTTAATCTATTAAAGGAAAGGTGTATAATCGGAGGTAAATCACCCAAAATTGTTTTAACTTTGAAGCGCGATTGTGGACGAACGCGTCACCCTAAGCAACTTTTGAAAAAGTTAACAGCTGACAAAAATCTGAGCTGGTCGATTTTTGGTGGCAGATACCCATTTGTAGTAAAGGGTGTTGCGTGTTATTCTCGCCAGCTATCTCATCCGAATGGAGATTAAAC